CATTATGGCCGCGCGACATTTCGGGCTGTACCCCTAAACTATGTAGTGTTTTTGACAGAAACCTAAATTTTTGATGGAACGGAACCCTAAATATCTATTTTTCGATTCCAGAACCAAAACCAATAAATCGAGTAACTTGTAGAGTTCAGAAGTTAACTTGAGTATCGATAAATATGTACAAAATCGTTGGGTAATACTGAAGATTGTATTATTTCGACCTTTAATTGCCATTGGTAATCAAAAAAGAATTAATTGAAAATATGTTGTCGTACAAATGTAATTTTGGTGATTAAAAATCTGTTTATTAACATTTTGTTAAGAAGCTATCAAAAAGGATGTACTGTCGCTTTGAATTTAAATATTTTTTGGCGGTGTGTTTGGCGTTGTGTTAATTTTTATTTAAAATGAGATAGTGTGTAGTTGGAGAAATAAACAAAAATGTTTATTGTTTTGAATTTTTATAGATACTATTCTATATACTTTTTAGTTTGTTTGCTAATTAATTTCACTCTGCAATACATAGGTGACAAGGACACCTTTTTTTCACTTTTTTTCATCTTCTTAGAAAACATGGGGAAGAAGTGCTTTTCCAGTAGGTAATTAGGCGTGCTGAATCCGAATATCAGGTCAAATTCTATTTCGTATCCCAGATCTGAATTCGAGCTGTCAGTCTAGCCAGAAAATTTTAATATCTAAATGGAATTCGACCTGGTAGAATTCAGCATTAGTGTCTGCTAATGTGTGAGATCTAAAGCTAGAGCTGTTTTTTTTAATTTTTGTAATGATTTAGTTCTTATTATTTTTATTACATTCTTATGGAACAACTAAAAAATTTTAAATCTTCACATCTTCATGAAAAACTACGTTTAAACGACACCGATTTCAATGCATGGCTCAAGGAACTTGGACTTCTTCATGAAAAACGGACGTGCCATAAATGTGGAGGTCGAACAACAATTAAGCTTAGAAAGGGCCGCCAATATGGAGCTTGGCGCTGTACTAAGAAAAATTGTAGGGCAGAACGAGGCTACTTAACTGGGACTTTCTTTGAAGGATCTCATCTAACAACAAAACAAATTTTTCATCTTTCTTTTCTGTGGACTCGTCAATTTGGTAATTGTGCTGATTTGGAATTTGAGATCGGAATTGATCCAAGTACACGTCGAAAGTGGTTGAATTCTTTCAGGGATGTGTGTGCCAAGTTCTGTGCTAGAAATCATATTGGAGGAAAAGGTAGTTTGCTGTTATCGTCTAGGAGGTTGTCCCTACACCACGAAGATCTACAACTTTTCAAAGGAATATCTAGGGTTTAGAGGTAAATATAGGTTTATTGGGTTGCGCCAATTCCATCTATATCTCTTTATTTCCTCGGTAATTTGGGAATTCCTTTTCAAGAGTTTTAGGTCAGTAGGTCTTCAGAGGTGGAATTATCGTCTAGTGTTAACTTCTAATTTAGGTACTGAATTCCTGTGGCGCAAACGTTTTGGTGATATTTCAAATGTTTTTTATAATTTTTGGCATCATGTTTCACTTTTTTATCTGTGTGAACGTTCTCAATAAATTTTAATCTTTGTTGATTTGTAAAAAATAAGAATGGGGGAATGTTGACCTGAAAGCCTACATTCATATTCCCAAATGACCCTGTATACCTACTACAATGGAAATATCGAGGGATTAAGAGGAGATAACTACTCTGTTCTACATAACGTAGAATCCATCGATATCCCTTTAATCCCTCCACGTCTCTCGTTATTCCCTTTTGATATTCTAGTTAGTTATTCAGGGTCATTTGGCGTTAAGGCCCAATAGGTCTGTAGGGTGTATGTTTTCAGTGGTGGGGTCAAAAGTTTAATAAACAGAAGATTAATATTTCTTATTGAATATGTCATATCCTCTTATCCAAAATTTCTCCCTTTGATTACCAATGATAAAAAATTTAAAAATAAAGAGAAAAAACTAGTGTTACCAATCTTCATCATTACAATCTTCAGTATTTCCAATCGTTATATCGAAAAATCTCTCGATAACAATTTTAATTTTTTAAGCAATTACTTTTGCCATGTAAACAACTTAAATGTTCTTGTTGCTGCAACAACAATATAAGCACTTCCCCCTCCCCCAGTCCATCATTTAAACTTTTAAATTTCAATAAACACTCACCAACATCTTTAAATAATTTACAACAATTAAATGTATTTTCTAAAAAAATTTTGAAAAATTAATAAAAATTTTAAGGAATTTCGTCATCATTTAAGAATTTATACAAATAAAGTTAGACCAGACACAGATTACAAAACTCTTTATATTTTACAAAATACAACTACAAATGAAGTAAGTTTGTAAAAAAATAAAAATAATTTTGATTAAATAAACTTTAATTAATTAAACTTGGATATTTTCAGAATTTTGTTTTTGTATTTTTCAACTTATTTTTAAAAATTCTGATTTTAATTAATGTTTTAATTCTTCTGGTTTAATTTAAATTCTGATCTTAATTCTGGTTTAGAACTTTTTTTTTCTTAAAATTCTGATTAATTCTGATTTTAATTACATAATTGAAATTCTTATTTTAAAATTCTGATTTTTTATTCTGGTTTTTATTTTCTTTTTAATTGTTTTATTTAATTCTGTTTTCTAAAATTCTGATTTAATTCTGAATTTCTGATTTATTCCTCAACAATTTATTTGTTATTACCTTGCTTCTATTAAATTCTTGTTTCTATTAAATTCTGAATTCTGATTAATTGTTTTTTATTTTTGAATGATTCATATTAATTCTGATTGAAATCCATAACTTTCAAAATATTAAACTAAAAATTCTGAAGTTTTCTAAAATTTATTTTTTAATTAAAAAAGATTATTCGCCTTCTTGTTTGGGAAAAATTACGTTTACAATTGAGAGATTTAAATCTCTTTTATTTATTAATGGAAATACGTACTTCAACACGCAATTCTGTCGGTTTGGTGGAAATAAGGCGTAATATTATTCAACTTGGTAAAGAAATTTCTATTAAAAAAATAATTTTAATATGTAAATATTAGATGGAAATTCAAATCCATTAGAACTCCAAAAGTGTCAACCTGAAGGAATGTCTAGGTCAATAAAAAAACTTTCATTAAAGAAATTTTTTAAAGGTTCATTCTCGGCATGGATAATAATGCTATACTTGTACGTATACATGATGGGGAAATATGCCCTCAGGCAATTTTGATTTTTAAAAAAGTTAAAAAAATTATTTGAATTTTTTAAATTCCTTTCAAAAATTTTTAACAAAATTTTCAAAAAAAAATTATTTTCTAGTCCAATTACAAATCAATTTTCATCTCTCAACGGACAACTTGTGCCCAAGCAATTATTTTACTTGGCCAAATTTGTTTTAGAAGATTAAATGAAGAAATAACAGAAGAATTATATTTATTTATTAAAGACAATAAAAATGAAGAAAATAATAAATTAATTCCAATGGATAATTTACTGGCTAATATTTATTTAAATTTGTTGCCTGGACAGATATTGCAAATAAGAAGGGTCGAGAAAGAAAATAATAATAACATTACTAAATTCTGATTTTTAAATTTTTTTAACCTCTGTTAACCGGATTCTGTTTTACTTATAAATTATTCAAATTACATACTATTTCGTTTTTGTCTGATCCGGAAAATATAAATAAATATATTTTCCGGATAAAAGTGAAATACAATAGTGAAGTAATCAGGAAAAATAAATATTAATATTTCCGGAAAAATATATTCCGGAAAATACAAATAGCAACTTCAGAAATAATTCCGGTACATATTCCGGAAACGAATACATATTTATATTTCCGGAACTATTTTATATAAATTTTCCGGAAAATACATTCCGTTTCAAAAATACACATTCGTTTCCGGAAAATACATATACCGGAAGTGGGGACTATTGTTTAACTATGAATAGGTAATTCCATTCCAGAAAATACAAACATATATGTATCTTATAGAAAATATTCACAACAAAAATAAGAGGGAACTCCAGAATAAAAATTTATTTCAAATAATTATAAAATTTAAAATAAAAAATGCCAATAAAAGTTTCTACCAAATTTAATTTTATAATAAAATAAAATTCTATGAATACAAAATTAAATAAACCATATTTTTAGTAGGAGAATAAAGGCAATACTGGTGTTAAACGATAAATAATAAATAAAAGGTTTTTTTTGGCAATAGAAAAATTTCTTGGAAAAACTTTTTTTAATTCTGAAACAAAAAATTAATTTCAGAAAAAATATTGCCAAAAAATAAATTTTTTAAAAATAAATTTTCTTTAAAAAATTCAACAAACAATTTTTATAATAAATAAATCTGTGTAAGTCTCATTTTATCAAAAATAAACAAATTTTTGTAAAATTGAAAAATTTCAAACCAAACGAATTAATTCTTGCTCAACTGAAAATTAAAAAAATTACCTAAAATAAGAAATTTTTTCCTCACCCCCACTCCTCCTTGTAGACCTTCTGACAGATTTAGTCGGTGAAGGAGACTGTCTTAATACATTGGCTACATTAATATTTCCTTTCCGGTCAAAGTATTTGCAACTTCGTAAATCAACACAAACTTGAATAGAAAAATATCAGAATATTAAATAAATGTGTTTTTAATTGTAAATAATTCTGATAATTGTATTTTACAAAAATACAAAAAATCAGAATATTTATTAGAAAATACAAAAATCAGAATATAAATGTATTTGTGTTTTTCCGGAAGAAACACAAAAAGGTTTCGGAATAATATTCTGATTTGTAATTTATTTACAAATTGTATTTTAATTTCTGATTTTTTTATTTTTAATTCTGGTTTGTATTTTACTGTTAGAGTTGTTTGTATTTTATTTTTCTGGTTTGTATTTTAATTTCTTCCGGTTTGTATTTTTTGTATTTTTCATGTATTTTTCAAGTTTGTATTTTAACGTTCTGATTTGTATTTTTTCTTTTCCGGTATGCATTTTCTTTTACTAATTTTTAAAAAAATATTTTCCCCTTTCTCTCACCATATTCATATCTCCGTCCCAAATTATTCAAACACAACAAATGTTCATAATCTTCAAGTAAAGCTGTTTCTTCATCAACTTCCTCTTCTATTGGAATTTCTTCTACAATTTCTTTTTTAATTTTTATTACTTTTTTGGGTGGTCTCTTTTTAATTGAAATATTTGTTGTTTTTGTTAATTTTTGTTCTCTCAATTTTTTGTTTTTTAATTTTCCAGAATTTTTTTCAAAATTATTATTAAATTCATCTTCAAGTTCTATATAAGCAGCCAAACTTGTTTGTTGATGATCAAAATAGTCAAAACTTAAAAATAAAATTTTTAGGAGAGGTTATTAACTGTTTTAAGTTAAATTAACGTTCTATCGAAGCTCTTAAAATAATTAAAAGAGGAGATAAAAATGTGAAAATTTGTATAGTTATAGGTAATAGTGTTAATTAGATTTTCTAAAAAATTCAAATTTTTTGGTCAATTATCTAAAAAGTTATGGTCAAATAAATACAGAAAATCGACATTTTACTATAATAATATGGACAATTTTTGACCAGATTTTTTTTAAAATCGAAATTTTAACCAGACCAGAATTTTTAAGAGTTTGACTCGAATTTTCTAAAACTTTCGCATTATCTCCCCCACAACGTCCGCAAATTTTTTATCCACAAAGTTACCTTCTCTTTCTTTCCTCTCCTTTTATAAAAATTAAAAAATGATCAAAGATTAATTTAACTAAGGCAGTCAATATGCAAAAGGTAGTCAATAAATATATCCACATCGCCCTCTTTTTTTGCTTTCCTGTTGATAGTACAAGATTGTAAAAGATAGGTTAATTGCAGCTTTTTCAGTTGAAAAAGTGGAAAAACATGAATTGATCTGTAAATTGACGCCTGTCGCATTTTGACTGCCTTGTTTAAATTAATCTTTGACAATTCTTTAATCAATTTAAGAGGAAAGAAGGAAGGTAAGTTTGCGGACAAACATGGACGTTGTGGGGGAGATAATGCAAAAGTACATTTTTTAAATAAATTTAGGATGTCTGAATGAAATTTAAAAAAATAAAAAAAATTTTTGCGGACATGTCCGCAAAATATTTGCAGACGTCCGCAAAAAAAATTTTTAATCTAAAAATTTTTTTCCGAAGTTTTTTAAGTCTAAAAATTTTTTTTACCCAAATTCATCTTCTGTTTGCTTCATTTTCTTCTGCTTTTTCCTCTCTTTTTCATTTATCAATTCTTCCATAACCCAATCCAACGTCATCGGTGATTTTCTCTTTTCTTTCCCATTTTCTTCGTTTTTATTAAAATTAATATTGTCTGGATAAATTAAAGAATTTGAAGCTGTTGTAGATGATGATGATTCTGTTTCAAAACCAGAATTATCTTCAGAAGAGGAAGGCAATGAAGAAGAGGAGGAACAAGAGGAGAGCTCTAAGCCTAGATTGCGACGTTTTTCTTTTGTTTCCTTAGCCTGAAAAGAATTTTTTGTTAAAAATTAATTTGAAGATTTATAAAAAATATAGAAAAAAATATCAAGAATTAAAGTTAAAAATAAATAGAAAAATTAATTTAAAAAAATTTTTAAGAGTGAAAAAATAATTTTAAAGTAATTTCTAAACTAAAAAAATGTTTATAATGTGGAATTGGTCAACCACCCTTACTGTTTAAAATCCAAAATACTATCCATTTTACCAAAGAAAAGCATTCAGAAAAAAATTTTAATTTTATGGTCTGAAAATATTTTACCCCTAAAATGCCTAAAAGATTTTTCCAATGGGTCATTTTATCAAATACAAAGAAAAAAAATCTAAAAAAATCATCAGGATTCTGTAAATAAAAATTAATTTTATTCTTAAAAAATATTTAAATTCACTTTAAATAAATTGTAAACTTTTAGCCGTACTTATAAAAATATTGTCTAAAGTTTGTAGTCGAACCACCCACATTTACCTAGTAAAAACCTAGCACAATAACCACTACACCACCGAGAAACCTCACCGAAAAATTAAAAAAGAGCTTATAGGCCTAATTAAACTTAAATAAAATCATACTTGAATCCTTTTAACTTGCTCTACTCGTTTTTTTTCAACATCAATTTCGTGATGATAAAGTTGATAAGTTACATCAGCCATTTCATGCAAAATTAACTTGAAAAATTTTTTTAGAATTTTTTTCAAAATTAAAAAAAATACAAACATGACGTTCGAAAACCATTCGGTGGACAATTTCCCCACAATATTCACAAACATTCCATTCAACATCTTTTAGGGGAACGTGTAAGCGTTGATAACGAGATTGGACACTTGAAAAAGAAGGGGAAAATTAATTTTAGAAAAAAATTTTGAAAATTAAAAAAATTTTTTCGAAATTCTTTTTTGAAAATTTAAAAAAATTAAAATTTTTGCGAAAAATTTTTTAAAAAATTTTTAAAATTTTTTTGTAAAATATATGTAGTATTTAAGAAAATAAGCATAAAAATATTGTCTGATTTTTAGACAGTTGAAAAGAAGGGAAAATTTTATTTAAATTTTTTTTCGAATTTTTTGTTTGGTTTTTTTCCAGAAATTAATCTGCAAATTTTTTAGAAAAATTTCCCATAGAATTTTTTGCAAAAAATATTAAATGAAAATATGCATAAATTATTTTTAGTCTTCTTAAAAAATTAAATTAGGTAGATTACCTACCCTAAAATATGTAGTAATCTTTATTTTTCCCTCTATCTATTTTAACATTTTTATTGCCTATAAACTCAAAAAAATATTTTTAATTTCATTAAAACTTTTTCAAAAATTATTTAAAATATTTTAAATTAAAATAAAAAATGTTTTACCCCAAAAGGGTTCGAACCTTGCTATACCCCCACCCAAAACCCAAACACTTCCCACTTAACCAAATTCTTTACCTTTCAAATTTTCTTCTGCTAGTTGGTTCAGAATCAATTAAAGATGTTAAAATATCGTCCATTTTTGATGAAAAATATGAAAATATTAAATATATTTTTAATAGTTTAGTAAGTAATAGGGCTGATGACAGCCTATAACAAAAATCAAAAAAAAATTTTTTTTTGTTTTCCAACAATTATAAGGGAATTAAATTTTGGAGGATTGAGCCATATAAATGGGGGTCGAGTGAGCTAAAGCTGTTTAGAACAAAAAAGATTCGAATAACTCGACTCGAAAAACTCGAAACGACTCGACTCGAAAATCCAAGCTCGAAAAAATGTACCGAACGTCGGCTCAACTCGAGAATGGCAACTTTAAATACAGTCCCTATACATAAAGATAGGGGCAAGAGTAACTGAAATGAGAATTAACCATTTTCGAAGTTAAAAATTCATTTCAAATTTATTAACTAACAAAATTTTTAAAAATCTAAATTAAATTAGATTCTTTGGGGATTCCCGAAAATTGAGAAGTTATTTTTTATATGTATCGACAGGATCCTGAGAAGTTAAAAATTAATTTAAAATTTTTTTTTTTCAAAATTGACTCTCAATCAGACATGCACGAGAAGTTTAGTTTCGTCTAATAAAACGATTTTTAAAAAATTTTGTTTCGTTTCGCTTGAAAAAATTTTGAAGTTCTGAAAAAATTCTGAAAAAAATGTCATTTTTGCACTAAAATTTAATAAATATGTAAAATTAAACGTCTTGTGCAAATATTTAATCTATTGATATTAAAAGCGAAAATACTAACAATAAACCCCCAAAAATAGTTCTTTAAAAATAAATTAAAGCTTTTTTGTTTACCTGTCTATATTTTATGATTTTAGCGATTTAAGTGATTTTCACTTTTTTGGGAAAAGAGCCTCGTAAAACTTGGCTCTTGTCCAGATTACGCGTCCAATGAAAAGTTTATACGTCTGATCATATTTTTATGCGTTCATTCAATGGCAATAAGTACCCGGTTCTGCGTGTTAGAACCCATGAACCGGTATCATGCGTGTGTACCGTACCTCTGTGCGAGTAGAGCTTTGTAATTCCATAGATTTTTTGATACTAAACTGACGAACAAGGACGCGAAAAAGTACGATCGAAAGCATAAACTTTTTATTGGACGCTTAAAGGTTAACTGAACGCATAAAAATTTGATTGGACGCGTAAAGGTGAGATTGAACACTCAATCTGAACAAGAGCCAATTTTTTTATCACCCCATAACCTTAATGCTATTTAAGGTAATAAAAAATTCTCAGGGAATTCTGTTAAGTCAGAAATTAAATTTTGGATTGTTCGCTTGCCGGATATATCCCGGAAAATCTGTCCAGGTCCAGCTCGCGCCGTACACTACTAGAAACCAGCGCCTAAAAGCTCACTGTTACTTAAATTATTTAAAAATGTTTATTTTGTCTACTGATTTGGCGTTTTGTTTTTAAAATGACAATTAATCCCAAGCCAGATTTTCCTTTTTTTCTCTATTTTTTCTGCACTATTTTTACTTTAGAAAATTTTCCAAAAAAGTTTTTCAACAAATTATTTTCAATTTCTCTCCATTTTTCCAAAATTTTGTTCAAAACAATGACTGATGTACCAGAAAATGCTCCAGAAAGCTGTCCCGGCACTCAAAGCGAAAAAGCAGGCAAAACATCAGCATGTGCTGGGTGTCCAAATCAAAAGGCTTGTTCAACTGGTGTTCCACAAATTGATCCAGACATTGATTTAATTAAAGAAAGGATGGCTTTTGTTAAACATAAAGTAAGAGAACACGGATATTATGGCTTATACAGGGGTTTTTTTGTTTACAAATGGAGTGGATCGAGTAATGGGTAATTTGAAGAAGCTCGGGCATTTTTGGACTGGTAAACAATAGGGATCGAGATTATTGAAATCCTGGGCCTGTAGTCTAGGAACCCAGACCCAGGAAAGTCAAAAAATTCCTGAGCCTGGACTCTGGGTACAGGAAAAACCCGGGCCTTGGTCCAGACCCAGCTCGATCACTAGTAAACAAAACTCTCCAATAAGTCATAGTAAAGCAGCTGGGCTATAGCTATTTCTCTCCTTTAGCTAGAGCAAAAGGTTATTCGGCGGCTGGGAGCGAACCAGCATCTTCAGTAGACCGGACTGATGTGTTAGCCATTACACCACGCCGGCTACTGCTCAGCCTTAGGAAATTAATAGCTATATGCTTTACACCTCCATCCCCAGGGAAGACTGTCCCTAGTCTTCTTATCTGCCCTCTTCCCGCTTTTTCTCTCACCTGCGGGGTAGCTTAATCATCGCCTTCTCTGGCGGAATTTCATTTCTCTAACCCAGGGCCTATGAGATGGATCGTCATTCGTTCAGCGTTCGCTGAACCATCCGGTGCTACCAGTAAAGCAGCTGGGCTATAGCTATTTCTCTCCTTTAGCTAGAGCAAAAGGTTATTCGGCGGCTGGGAGCGAACCAGCATCTTCAGTAGACCGGACTGATGTGTTAGCCATTACACCACGCCGGCTACTGCTCAGCCTTAGGAAATTAATAGCTATATGCTTTACATCATATTACCCAAGAAAATTGATCAAAAGATTTTCAAAATTATTTTAAAACGTTTTTAGATTCTTGTATTGAGTGGAAAAGGTGGCGTTGGAAAAAGTAGTGTCACAACTAGTTTGGCTTATGTAATGTCCAATTTGAATGGGAATGATGGAAAGCCTTTAAATGTTGGTTTAATAATTTAGGAATTTTTTCAAGATTTTCGGAAAAATTTTTGGTGTAATACTCGGACACCAGCCTGGTCGAATTGTATCTAATTCGACTGGGATGTCGAGCGGGTTGTGTGTTTTGTCTCCTGTCATCTCCACGGGCTCTTTAGAATGTCTCTGAAATTTTACCATTTACCTATTTTTAAGGTTGGCGTCCTCGATATTGACATTTGTGGACCTTCACAAGCTCGAATGTTTGGATGTGAGAATGAAAGTGTTCATAGTAGTGAAGAAGGTTTTTTTTTGTTTTTTGGATTTTTATTAATTCTTATCTTCTTTAGGATGGGCACCCGTTTTCGTGAAAGACAATCTTTTTGTGATGAGTATTTCTTTTTTGGTTGAATCGAGGAATGACGCGGTTTGTTTTATTTATTTTTAAATTTATTAAAATTTTGGGGATTAAAATAAATAGAATATACCGTTTAAATGGGTATCCTTGTTTATTTTGTGGTTGGTCTTTATTTTTATGACCGATTGTCTTATTGGAGCTAGCTTCGGTTGATTTATGGTTTTTACTCCTGCCTCACATATTTTATATTAATGTAATCTTCGGGTTGTCTGTTTCACCAAATTCTTCGGTTGATCGAACCATCAACCGGAAAAATTGTTGAGGATTAATGAGAGTTGATATGTATCTTGTGTATTGAATTGATTAAAGTATATTTGATGGAATATTAAGGAGTTTTAGATTCGGTTTTGTTTTAGATCGAGACCCTAGCAATACTTGAGTATTTTATAACTAGTTTTTATAATCTTCAAAATTTTTAAAATTATTTTCTAAATTTAAAACAGATTATTTGGCGTGGTCCTCGCAAAAATGCCTTAATTAAACAATTCCTTCGTGATGTTGATTGGGGCAACGTAGACTTTCTTTTAATTGATACTCCGCCTGGAACTTCTGATGAACACATTTCTGTCGTTCAACTTCTCTTGCAATCATCACAACTTGATGGAGCCTTAATTGTTACAACACCACAAGAAATTTCTTTGTTGGATGTTCGAAAAGAGGTTTCTATTTTTTAGATAAACTACGGGAGCGGGGTTTTCAGAAGTCTCAAATATAGATTTTTGATGACGGGTCTAGGGAACGGCCTCAGTTTTGATCTAATTTTTTTGGGTTTTTTCTAATTTTTCTAAATTAACGTTTGTAAATATACGTCCGCAATGTTTCAATCGTTCGCAATGTTTATTTTGCCCTTTGAATAGAAGACAAACCATTTTCTGACAAGGCAACAAAGTCGTTGCTCAGGCCTTCTTTCTTTATAGGACAAAATCGCTTCTTTTTAGAGAATATTTTTGGACGTTAAGAGGGAAAGGTTAGTTTATGATAGCAATTATTCCTGTGGATGAAGAAGGAGGCTTGAATAACGACTCATTTGCTTGGTTAGAAATGTTTAAAAAATCCAAATAAAATTAAAAAACTTTTTTCATTTTACTAATTTAGAAATAATTATTATTTTTAGGTCAATTTTTGTATCAAAACAAAGGTTCCAATTCTTGGTGTTATCGAGAACATGGCAGAATTTATTTGTCCTAATTGCTGCACACATTCACAGCTTTTTCCTTCAACAACTGGTGGTGCTTTAGGAATGTGTAAAGAACTGGGTGAAGGTTTGGAGTTGTTGGCTTCTTTACCTTTGGACCCGAAACTTGGCAAGAGCTTGGATATGGGGAATGCTGGAAAGTTTTTTGAAAAGTTGGAAGATTCTGTTATTGTCCACAAAGAATTTAAAAAACTTGCTGAAACAATTTTGAAAAAATGTGAAAATGAAGTAAAAGAAGATGCAAAATTGGAAGAAAATGGGACAGGAAAATTAACTGAATAATTTTTAGTAAAAGTTTGAAAATTTTATTTATTTTTAAAGTAATATTTGCGGACAGAAATTTGCGGACAATTACCTCTTTACCGTTTTATTAGTTGAAATGATAATTAGGGCGTAGTTTAGTCTCGACATCTAATAATTAGGGTCCGGATTTTTAGGATAGCGCAATTTCTTAAAATAGGTAGGAAAATAGGAATGAAAAACACGAAAATAGGAAAAGTATCTATTTCCGGGAGTAAAAAATATTTTTGATTGCAAATTACAAATATTTCCAAGTGCTTGAGGGTAAGACTGGTATGTTTGTGGACAAAATAATTTTTAACTTGAAAAGGGGCAGAAGATGAGCATAAAAGGGTAAATGCAAAATTGAAAAGGAATTAAACGAAGAAAAAATTTACTCGACATTTGCTTAAAAAATTGCAAAACAAACAAATCTTTAAAATTGTTTGTAAATCTTGCAATGATTGAAGATGAAAACGATGATTTTTTAATCTATCACAGCACTTGTCCGGAATAATAATGATATTATTGGTTGTAGATTGAGGATCAAAAACGAAATATAAAATTCTCAATAAAATTTTTTAATTACTGAGCTTCCAAAAATATCATATTTAAAAGGTTTAGATTCTAAATCATTTCCAAAATTTGTTTCAATTGAACAAACTTTCAGCCAAACAAAAGGTTTGTAACATTCACAGTTATAGTCCAAAATAAAAGCTTTTCTAAATTTACACCCAAACTTTTTTGGATTTCTTATTTTATTTCCAAAATAGAAGAAAGTTGGCATCCAAAATTTTCAAAATTTTCGCTTGCGGCACTGAAAAAGGAAGAATTTTTTAAGAAGTTTCTAAAATTTTCAAAATAAGGCAAAATAGCGCCGCAAGAAAAGCTTTTATTTTGGACTATAACTGTGAATGTTACAAACCTTTTGTTTGGCTGAAAGTTTGTTCAATTGAAACAAATTTTGGAAATGATTTAGAATCTAAACCTTTTAAATATGATATTTTTGGAAGCTCAGTAATTAAAAAATTTTATTGAGAATTTTATATTTCGTTTTTGATCCTCAATCTACAACCAATAATATCATTATTATTCCGGACAAGTGCTGTGATAGATTAAAAAATCATCGTTTTCATCTTCAATCATTGCAAGATTTACAAACAATTTTAAAGATTTGTTTGTTTTGCAATTTTTTAAGCAAATGTCGAGTAAATTTTTTTCTTCGTTTAATTCCTTTTCAATTTTGCATTTACCCTTTTATGTTCATCTTCTGCCCCTTTTCAAGTTAAAAATTATTTTGTCCACAAACATACCAGTCTTACCCTCAAGCACATGGAAATATTTGTAATTTGCAATCAAAAATATTTTTTACTCCCGGAAAGATAAATTCTCACCTCAGCATATAAATTCAGGAAACCCTCTAAAAATCTGGACCCTATTATTGTTATAACCTTTTTTGTTTTCAATAAACTTCAATTTTTGTTCGCAAATGTTTTTCGGCCTTTAAACTTTATTTAAATTTTTAATAAATATATTTAATTAAATTTTCTTTTTTTTTGAATAATTTGTTTTTATGTACATTTTAATACTTTTTCTATTATTTATTTTTAAAATAATCATTCAAGAAATGAGCCTTTTTGGAAGTACTGGGACTTCGACAAGTTCTTCACCTTTTGGTGCTAAGCCTGGTGGACTTTTTGGAGGGACAACAACTCAACAGGTTTTTTGAATTGTTTTGCATATTTGAATTTAAATGTGTCTTTTGGCCTGGAGGGGGTGTTTAGGGGGTTATTGATTTTTTAAAGTCAATATTTTTGTTTTTTTATTCGGTTGGTTTTATTTTTTCTGAATCAATTTTTAAAATGGTTTTGGATGTTTTTTAAGTTGATATTTTGTTGTTATGAATTTTTGGGTAAAATTGCTTTTAGTTTTCCTTTTTTAAAAGTTTCTCTTTTTGTGAAATCATTAACAATTTGTAAGTCAATAAAAGACGTGCTTTCCCTACCATCTTAAGGTGATGGGGCCTAAGCTCAATAGGTTTCTTTAATCATCCTTTAGCTATTAATGTTTAAATTTTGGGAGTTTCTAAGGGTTTTCTTAAACAATTTTGCTTAAATACTTCAGATAACCGAGTGTTGTATCCATATTTGCAGAAAAATATATAAAGAGGGTTGCCCACAAATATGTTTGTCCGCATTTTTAAAGCGGTTGTCCGCAAATTATTTGCGCACTTTTTAAAAATTTTTTGAGATTCCTTTATGTTCATGATGGTTCTATTCCCTCTCTGCCCAATAAATTTTTCCACAGAATGAAAATAACACCGAGGTTCCCCAGTTATTTTTCATTTTTTTATTTAAAAGACCTTTTATTCTAAAATGAAAAAACAACGAGTGGTTGATATTGACTTTAATTACTCTAAAAAATTAAAAAGCGTTAATAATAATTTATTAATTCAGCCAACAGCTTCGACTGTTCCCCAAGGAGATATTGAGGTTTTTTGAATTTATTTAATTAAAAAATATTTTTCTAAGTTACAACAAGTTTCGAGTGACACCGTTCAAGCATTAAAATTTAGTCCTGCTGTAGCCAACACTCCAATATTTCTTGCTGCTGGATCGTGGGACAATACTTGCCGAATTTGGGAAATTAATGAGAATGGACAAAGTGAACCTAAAGCTATGCAGGATTTGGGGGCTCCTGTACTTTCTGTGGATTGGTTTGAGGTTTTGAATTTTTTTAATTTTTGGAAAAATTTTTGGGTGTTGTCCGCAAATTATTTGCGGATTTTTTTTTATTTTTTTTTGGAATTTTATTTTTTTTTTATGTTTTTCTTTTTTGTGAAAAGGTTCTGTCCACAAATGCAAGCCTTAGCGACTATTCTTTTTTAAATATTTCTTTTCGATGTTTTGCCGTAATTTTCATCCACAAGATTCTTTTATCTTGTCTTTCTGATTTTAAAAAAATTATAATTTATTCCTTTTTATTTTTTTGGGACAATTTTTGTATCATCTATTTTAATCCTTTTTCAATTTTCTTTTTTTATTTTTCTTTACTTTTTAGGACAGTTCAAAAGTATTTATTACTTGTTGTGACAAGAGTGTTCGTTTATGGGATTTACAATCAAACTCGGTTGTTATTGTTGGACAACACGATGATTGTGTTAAATCCTGCCATTGGGTGACTGCTTCTAATTATCAGGTTGATTTTTAAATTTATTTGAGGGTATTTAATTAGAGAAAGAATTAGTTTATTTAATTAGAGGTTCAATCGGGCCTTTGTTGTGATAGATGGTCATGTTCTTTGTTTTGTGTTGTATTAAATCGAGTGTAGAATAGAGATTTTTGAAAAGCCTGGGCCTGTTCCTGGGGGCTGGGGTTTGATTTAGTATTGACTTGGGCCGGATCCTGGCCTGTAGTCCAGAAAAACCCAGTAATGTCAAAACATGCCTGGGCTTGGACTCTGGGTACCGTAAAAACCCAGGCCTTGGTCCAGACCCATCACGATCTCTAAAATCCACGACCTGCCGTCTAAGTTATCCCATTTTGATTATTAATTGTTTTACTGTTTTATATATTTTTAGTAAAAATTATTTTTAAATTTTTTCCAGTGTTTAATGACTGGTTCATGGGATCGTTCATTACGTTTTTGGGATATGCGTCAATTACCAACAGTTTCTTCACTTGCAACAATTAATTTACCTGAACGTGTTTGGTGCTCTGACATGATATATCCTCTAGCTGTTGTTGGAATGGCTAATCGACACATAAAATCATATAATTTGGAAGGACAACCGTTTGTTTATTTTTTTATTTAAAAATATTTTAAATGTCCGCAAGTTTTGTCCGTAAAACTGGAAAAAAACATTTTTGGATTTCTGGGGAGATTTTATTTTTCTTAAGATGATTTCAGGGTTGATTGCAAACGGTTATTAACCGCACCCGCAATTTTCGGTTTCGAATAATTTTTAATGACGAATTTTAAATTACATGAGTACATAACCTCATTTCAATCCAACTCAATGATTGAAATGAGGTTATGGTTTTAAGAGGAAGTTTATTTAAATGAGAAACTTAAGAATAAAAAACCCGCACGAGTTGCAAATTGGGATCTAACCAAAAATCAAATTTTAATTTCCCGACATGGGTCCGTCTAACAATAAACTTTTGTGGAAAGAGGAAACACCCCTAGTTGACTTACAACACCCTTATATTTGACTTATTTTTTAAAAATTATTTAATTTTTAGACAAGAAATTCAGGATGTTGAATCTCAATTAAAATATCAAGTTTTTTTAAATTTAAAAATTATTTTAAAAAATTTCTTTTCTAGAACCGTTCCATTGCAATTTTTAAAAATAAAATAAATAATCAACCTGGAGGTTTTGCGCTTGGGTCTATTGAAGGTTTATTTTTTAATTTAAATTTATTAAAAAATCTTTTTATTTTTAGGTCGTGTAGCCATTCAATGTTTGGATGCAAAAGACAATAAAGACAATTTTACTTTTAAATGTCATCGATCTTCAGAATTAATTAATGGCTTTCAGGAAATTTATCCGGTTAATTTAAAATTTATTTTCTAGTAAATCTACCTTCCCCAAACTAAAAATTTTATGAAATTCATTTTTAAATTCCTTATTTTTTCCATAAGAGTGTGTGTGTCCCCTTTTTTATAAACAAATTCGGTTTTTAGAAAAAATTAGATTGTGGACTTAATTTGAGTTTTTAAACTAGAGAGCCAGCGGGATTTGTCAGGTTGCAAAAAGATCGGGTAGGGTTTTAGAAACTTCGGATTGGGTTTCGTTACAAAAAGTATCGGTTAACCCGACCTTCCCTTGCTAGGTATCAAACTGAAATTAGACAAGATCTCGTTCAAAAAGATTTTTTGTAATCTTAACCTGTTTTTAGAACCATTTTTAATTCAATCAACCACTTTAAAAAATTTTTTCTTCTTTTTTTAAAGGTAAATGTGGTAGCTTTCCACCCAATCCACCAAACACTTTGTACTGCTGGTGCGGATGGACGTTACTCATTTTGGGATAAAGATGCACGTACTAAACTTAAAGGATCTGATGCTATGGCAATGCCTATAACTGCTTGTCATATACACCAAGGGGGAAATATTATGGCTTATGCTATTGGTTATGATTGGAGTAAGGTTTGTTGTTGGAAAGAGAGAATTTTTAATATTTTTTGAAAAACTTTTGCGTTAGGACAAGACTATTAAAACGTCATGGATGGGTCAGATTAAGAAGAAAGGGTGTTGGGGTTTCGAAAATTTCTTGGGTCGAGTTTCTAGGCGAAAAAAGACTAATTTTCGAATAACTCTATCATCCCTGCAATAAATTAGGTCCTCGTCGTACAAATTTTCAAGAGAAATTTTCGATTTACTTTTGGATTTTCTTGACTTGTTCCTATGAGTATATTTTCTATTTTGAACTTCTTACTTAAAAGTCTACCCCTTCCATTTTTATTTTAAGTAATAAAAACAACAAAATGTTTTGTCAATATTTTTTGCCCCCAATAATTTTATTTAAATTTTAGGGCTCAGAGTACAGCTATCCAACGAATGTTACTAAAATTTATTTGCATGCTTGTAATGAAGAAATGAAGCCGCGAGTTAAGAAATGAAAATTAATTGTTTGTGTATTTATTTATTTTAATTTTTTCTTAAAACCTCTTTTAAACTTTTTTCAACTGAAAATTGAATTTTTTGATTTTAATTTAAATAAACATGTATCTGTGAGTGTCTATTCGTCAAAGTGCCCTTTTTCGAAATGTCCATTCTTCGAAATGCCCTTTTTATAAATACATTTATTACTAAATTTAATTCAAAATTTTTATATGACAATTATAAAAAACAAAATTAAAAATTGTTAGGAAAATAAAACTAAACAAATATATAATATTAATTAAATGTGAAAATGAGGGACTTTTAAATAAGAAAATAAAGCAAAAACAATTAGGGATAAATCTTCTGAATAGCCAAAATAGTTTTAAGAAACCAAAAAAAGATTATGAACATTTACATGGATTTTATTTTGGAAATACTTTAAAATTTGGCTAACAGAAAATCAAAAATAATTTTTAAAAAATATTCGTGTCTGTAAAAAAACACAAAAATTCATTGCTTCGAAACCTGACAACTTTTAGTATTTTATATTTACATAGAGTTGAAAATCAATGCTTAAAGAATATTAATGAATGGAAACAATTCATTTTTCTAGAACCAAAATTAAAGAATATGTGAAGGATAAAATTTTCTCTTTTTCACCTTTTTGGAAATACGGAATGGATCCAACAGTATTCATGCGTCTAAAAATGTCGACAAAATGCCTATACGACTAGGGTTGCCGTTTTCGAGTCGGGCCGACGGTCGAGGCATTTTTTTTCGGGCTTGTTTTTATCGAGTCGGGCCGGTACGAGTCTTTTTCGGGCCTAACTTTATCGAGTCGGGCCGATACGAGTCTTTTTCGGGCTTAAATTTATCGAGTCGGGCCGGAACGAGTCACTTTCGGGCCTGACTTTATCGAGTCGGGCACCGAGACATTTTCGAGTCTTTTTTTAAAAGATTTATTTAAAAATAATTTGTGGATTTGGAGGGATATCTCTGAATTAAAAGGTATATCGATGGATCAGGAGGGTAAAGGAAGAGCTGAAGAGAATTAAAATGGATATCAGTGGATTTGAGGGATTAAGGTGATTTAAATTATCGGAGGATTGATGTGAGATATTGCTAGATTTGGTTTCATTAAAGGAGATCAAATGATTAAGGGGTTCAGGATTGTATATCAGATGATTAAGGTGATATATTGTAATGGGATTTAGAAGGAATGAGGAGATTTGAAGGCATATCGGGGATATCGTGCGTTAATCACCAAATCCCTTAATCTCCTCGTATCCTCGTTAATGCTCTAAATCCATCATAATTTCTCCTACAGCTTCTTTATCACTTCATTGACAGTAGAAAGGAAGAAATCTGGCCACTTAGTCTTCCAAAAGTCTTAAACTTTTCGACTCCTGCGGTAAAAAAAAGATGAAATCACTGATATACCTCCAAATCACTGGTGCCAATTAAATACACACTTAATCCAAGGGCGTATCCAGGGGGCTGGGGGGCGGGGATAGAGCCCCCCCCCCCCCCGAAATAGGGGAAAGGAAGAAAAATTAATAGAAGAATGGTCGAAAAAGTGAAATTTTTTCGCCTACAACCCTCGGATTTTAAAAAATTTTCGCCTGCGGCACTATAAATGAAGACTTGTGGACTGAAGATTGCGACTGCGTATTCTAAAGTTAAAATTGCGGACTGCGGAAAATTGTGGACTCTCAAAACTGATTGAGTTTCAAAAGTTTAAATTATGACGGGATCCCGCGGAATATATACCATAACTCCCAGTAATCCAGCTTATCAATTAAAGCCAGCAAGTTCGAGATGTGAAGCAAAGTATGGAGATAAAAACCCTTCATGAAGGCAAAAATTTTGAGATATTCGGAAGGCTAAGGACCAAACTTCTTTCTTTTTCAGCGCCGCAGGCGAAAATTTTTCGAATTTTGGAAGGCCACGGAGCCAGATTTCACCCATTTTTGTCCACAAATCTGGTAAAAATATTATCGAGTCTCGTTCGAGTCGGGCCGACTTTTTCCGAGACAATTTTTTTCGGGCCTGTTTTTATCGAGTCGGGCCGGTACGAGTCACTTTCGGGCCTAACTTTATCGAGTCGGGCCGTTACGAGTCTTTTTCGGGCCTAAATTTATCGAGTCGGGCCGGTACGAGACTTTTTCGGGCCAAACATCGAGGCATGACTCGATCTTTCGGTCCGAGTCGGTCCATTTTGGCAACCCTATATACGACAAAATGTCCATAGGACAAAATGCCCAATCGACAAAATGCCCATTACTGATATACCTCACATAAACCATTCTGTTTAATTCTAAATTTTCTTTAGAAAATTTTATCCTTTTAATTTCAATTATAAGTGAATGGCAAATTGTGTAGTAAATATTTTATATAAACACACAAAAAAATAATTGGAGAAAAAAAAATAAATTTATTATTTATTTGGATTTTTGGTTAGAAGGGAAGGAAGGCATTTTGGCCCTTTTATTTTTTTATTCGGCAAAATATTTTTTTAAATTTTTTTGCATATCTTTTTTTTGAAAAAAAATTTTTTGAGAGAGGCGAGAAGAAAAAATATACTTAACTCGTCTTTTAATTTATTTAAGATGGAATGATTTTATATTTATTTTATGTTGCTAAAATGTGTTGTTGTTGCTGTTTGTTGTTATTTTTTCACTTCATTGGTTAATATCTAATTGAAAAAAAAATAAATTAAAAAATTATATCTTATAAAGGGGTGTTTATTAATTAAAGGGTATCTCTTCTACCCCATCCCAAACTAGAAAACGTCCATTAATTAGAAGTTGGGACACAGAGAGGTCTTTTATGAGTCCAATGAAAAATTAATAGTAGTCCCAACTAGATAGTCAAACAACCAGAAAATATAATTTAAATGGTGTATCTAGTAGCGGCCATTTTGACTTTATCTTATAATTGTTCCTTAAATACAGGGTATCTTGCCTAGACTCTCTCACACAAGTTTCAGTCCAATATAGTTTACTGCTTATAAAACTTCTTCCCACCTGGAAAAGTTCTTTATCAGCTAAACACCCATCTACAAATTCTTTTAAAGTCAACTCCTTATCATTATTTATATCCATTTTCTCAAAAATCATTTTTGCCCTTTTTCGTGGAGAATCGTCAGCTGATTTTGTTACTTCTGGGCCAAGCATTTCATAAATTGCCTTTAAAATTTTTTAAATTAAATTTAAAAAATTATTTTAAATATACTTCAATTATTTTAATCATCTCTTTTTCATCTATTGTTCCATTTCCGTCAATATCATACATCTAAAAATAAAAATTTGTAAAAATATTAAATTAAAATGTTTTTAAGGTTGTTTCAACAGTTTCAAAAAATGTGTATTTTCCGGAAAATAAGTAGATATATTCCCCCAATATTTGTAAAAATAGAAGATTGTTTATAGAATATTTCCGGTTAATAGACGTTCCCTGATAATAGATGATATTCTTAGGTATATATTTCCGGAACAGACTTTATAAAATAGAAACATATAGGATAACAAGTTTACGGAAAATAGTATATTCTATAATTTCCGGAAAGCATAATATTTCCGTATAATGTATTTTCCGGTTATATGTATTTTCAGGGAAACACATAACTAGTAGAAATTATATTCTTGTTAGAACCAGACCTGGTCACGGATACTGATTTTGGTATCCGTATCCGGATATTTACGGCGGATACGGACGGATACAGGCGGATATCCGCAGGCATTTTGGTATTGTCTGTATCCATATCCGTATCCATGACCAGGTCTGGTTAGAACTATTTTGGAAACCTTGTAGAAATTCCGGAAAGATAATATTCCCATAGCTAACAAGAATAAATGTTTCTAGAGTTCTACAATTTCCGGAAATATTATTTTTTTCGGAAAAATAGTGCAGGCAAAAGAAAATAAAAATATTTTTAGTGCTTTTAATAGAACAAAATATTCGGAAAATACATGTATCTATGCTTCCGGAAAATTCTGAAATATTTCCGGAGTATTTTAGAGTTATACCAGAATAAATACATATGTATACCTATATTTTTTAGTTATATTTTAAAGTTATAGACAATTTCCGGAAAAGATACAGAAAATAAAACACTTCCTGTCTTTAACTGGAACATCCGGAAAACACAGCTAAGAATGTATGTAAATAAAAATTACCCTAAATGCCCATTCCAATTTCTGTTCGGGAGTGCCAGAAGAAGTAACATTTATAGCTAATAAAAATTCTTTAAAATCAATAAAACCAGAATTGTCTGTATCGAAAGTACGGAAAACGTGTTCACAAAACCCTTCTGCTGATCCAGAAGGGAAAAAATCCTGAAAATTTTTTTTGAGAAATTATCAAAAAATTTTTTGTTAACCTTATAAACTTTAATAAATTGTTCTTTTGTCAAATGACCTTTTGGACAATCTTGCTATAAATAAAAATAATTTTTAAATTTTATTTAAATTAATATTTTCCGGAAAATATTACATGCATATTCCGGAAACATTTACAGTTAATAAAAAGATATTTATTTGTATATTTTCCGGAAACTATGCAGACATTCCGGAAAAATAATAATTTCAGAGTTATACAGGGTGTTTCAGATAAAAAGCACTATTTGAAAATTCAATAACTTTTTAGTGATTGAACTGATTTTAATGAAATTTGGTATTTAATATCTATATTTTATGGCATTTTTTTTGACACAAAAATTATGTCTAAATTCGAACCCTAACCCGAGATAATTTCGTACTCTACCGTTCTGTTTTTCCCTTTTTCCGCACATGCATTCTTACTCCCTTTTGTTTTTTTTGAACGGCGATAGACACTAGAGTAAACACTAGTCGATAGACACTGCATTTTCAATACAGTATCTTCTCTTCGCCATACGCAGGAAAATAAATGAAGTAAGATAGCCCATAATGAAAAGAGGGAAAAAAGAGAACGGTAGAGTACGAAATTGAAACGAAATTGAAATACAGGGTTAGGGTTCGAATTTAGACATAATTTTTATGTCAAAAAAAATGCCATAAAATATAGATATTAAATACCAAATTTCATTAAAATCTGTCCACGTACTAAAAAGTTATTGAATTTTCAAATAGTGCTTTTTATCTGAAACACCCTGTACTAGAATGAATATCTTTATAATTCTAGACAATTCACGGAAATGATGATTTTCAGAAAAGTTTTTTGAAAATTTATTTTGATTTACTAGGCCCTAAAAATTTTTTAAGATTATTTTTGATAGTTAAAAATTTTTTTTCATTAATTTTCTTTAAATAATTAATTAATTTACCACAAATCCTTTATACCATTCCTTAATTTGTTCTTCAGTAAAATTTGTATTTTTCTTTAAAAATTCCAAATCTTCTTTGCTTAATTTTGGTTTAGAACCTTTTAAACCCATTTTTAATTAAATATTTAATTGCTTGAAAATTGAAGAAGAAAAGAAAATTAAATTTTTAAATGAGCAAGTAGGCACACAAAAATTATTTTTGTTTAAAAGCTGTTTTTCTGAAAAATTTGAATTTTTATTTTAGAAAATATAAAAAAGGGAAGACATTAAAAAAAACTAAAATTAAAGTTTGATTTAATTGATGCCAGTTTAGATGGATATCTTTTTTTGCCTTGATTCAATCCGAATAAATTTTATATCAATCGAAAACCCTCGATAAACTGTATATGTAATTTTACCTATTGGATGGATCAAGTCTGCTTAATTATTATTTAATCATTTCTGAATGTGAAAAACACACAATAATTGAACTAATAGTGTTGTAATTTTTCTAAGCGATCATACTTGATTCATCCAGTTAGAAAATATATACCGCTTATTGAGGATTTTGGATGATATAGTAAAATTTATTCGGATTAGATCAAGAATAAAAATTATAGTCAGCAGAGCAGGCTAGTGCTAAGTTGGTGGCCCATTCGAGATCCTAAAAGCTTAAGTGACGATCCTACTCTTTCCCTCCCCTCCAGGATCTTCCAAAAAATATTCTTTAAATTATTTACCTATTAAATAAATTCTTTTTAAAGCTTTGATTTTTTGTCTTCGTTTAATTTAATAATTTAACAAAAATAATTTTATTGTTGTTTATTTAAAAAAATAAATTTAGGCCAATATTACAAAAATAAAAATTTTATTTTTTAATTTTCGCTGTTTTTTAAACAAAAAAATTAATTTTTAGAAAAATATATTATTTTTTAAGGGAAGAAAACTTTTTTTTATAAAATTATTAAACAAATTTTTATGTAGTATTAGTAATGTGTGGGCTTTTTAGAAGCGTCGACGTGTCTTTTTCTAGAAAAAAATTATTTATTTATTTATTATGAGTAAAGTTAGGGAAGAAGACAAAAAAATATAAAAATAATTTTATCAATAAATGAAAATAAAGGCACGTTTCGGCGCGGAAACGCAACGGCGCGCGGGGTTAAAAATTATCAAAAAAGGAAGATAAAATTGCAAAATTTTGTAAAAATATTCCCAATAGTGTTATATAACAATTTAAAAAAATTTTTAAATTTTTGGTTCATCCACCTACGCTTTTTTTGTTATTCTTCTACCCTCTCCCCACACACATAACCTTGTTCTGAATAATAAATTCATAAAAATATTTTGCACGAAATTTCTTAAATAATAAAAATGACAAAAAAAAATACGTGGGAAAGAATAAAATAAAATAAAAAAATATTTTTCTAAATTTCGAAAAAATAAAAAAATATAGGAGAATTAAATATAAATTATATTATTAATTTTATGTATAATTGTATCACATAAAGTGTTAATGTAATTCTGATTTAAATTCTGATATTTAAATTAATTTTGTTCTGATAATTAAATTAAATTCTGTTCTGAATAAATTCTGTTTTATTAATTCAGAATTAATTTATAATTTAATTCTGATTTGTATTGAAGTTCTATTTTCATGATAATTCTGAATTATGTATTTTCCGGGAAGTTTTATATAAATTAATTTTGCAATCCGGAAAAATAAAAAAAATAAAATTCTGATTCTAATTTAATAATTCTGAAAGGGTTATTATTTGGATAAATATTTCGGATAAATAAAAGAAGATATTTCGGGGTAATACTATTTACAGGGTGCTCTCGCAACATGAAAAAAAACAAAATTTCGGTCTAAAATTTTTTTAATAATTTTAAAATTTAAAATTTATTTATTTTCAATTTTTTCTTATTTTTAAAATTAAATTTATTATTTTTTTCTTTAAGAAATTTGAGTTGGTCAATCATCAAAATTCTTCAAACTATTACTATTTAAAACTTTTTATTTTTTTTTGCTTTGAAATTTGAGAAGAAATTTGGGGAATTAAATAAAGAGAGAGAACTCTCCTCCTCTCTTTTTTTTTCTCAATAAAATAAAAATTTAGGAATGTTAAGCTTTCAATTTTTTTTCTTTCAGTAAATTTATAAAAATAAATTGAAAAATATTTTTAGTAGAGTTTTTATTGCCTTTTTTATATTAAATTGAAAGAAAAGAAAAAAATAGTAAATTAAATAGGTACTAAGATAAAAAAATTAAATTTGCAAGAAAAATTAAAAGAGAAATAAGGAATTGTCAGAACCTCGTTTTCCCAATTTTTAGAGGTACCCTTCATTTTTAAACTATTTTAGTTAGCAACTTTCCGCATTCTGAAATAACGGAAGGGCTCATCCCTAGCAGACATGCACGAAACGTTTCGTTTCGTTTCGTTGTTTCGTTAGTTTCGTTATGTTTTTTCCTGTTTCGTCTCGTTTCGTGACGAAACACTTTTTAGTTTGTTTCGTTTCGTTTTGTTAACGAAACACCTCTGTTTCGTTGACGAAACATTACCCATTTTTAGACCAAAATTTTACCCAAAAACTGAAAAATTTTCCCCTTTGGTGATCAAAATTCAAAAAATTTTTGCCTGCGGCGCTGAAATCTGGATTTTAAGCGCCTACGGCGCATAATTTACTAAATTTTTTTGAATTTCTCGTTTGATTTTTTTAATATGCAAAGCAGCTCAAATTCTATGCTAGATTAGGCATATAGAATCGATCTACCTCTTAATGCCAATCAGGGCAGGCGCAAGAGTTTCAAAAAAGTTTAGCAACTGATGGCAATGATCATGAATATGGTTGCCTTTTTTCGGGCCTGTTTCTATCGATTCGGGCCAGACGAGTCTTTTCGGGCCAAATATCTTAGGCACAACTCGATCTTTTGGTCCGAGTCGGTCCATTTGGCAACCCTAATCATGAACGTTGTTATCAACAAAAAAATCAGAGTTGAGAAATATCATTGGATTTGGCGGGAGCAATGGTGGTATAGGAAATTGGAAGAGAGTAAACGGGATATCGGTGGATTTGGAGGGTTTAATAAATTTAAAAAAATGTCGGGAATCAGGAACGGGTTTGAAGGATAGTAATTTCCGACAAAATTAATTCCCGATTTTAGGGAATCAGGAAACGGGTCGTCAGGTCCCTGATATACACATATTCTCAACACATAATTCGAGATTATGAGTCAAACGCGAAAGTTTTGTAGCCTGAGACCACAATTTAAGGTCCCACTAAGCTATTAGATCCATTATAGGCCATAACTGGCCTATTAACGTGTCTAAAATCGAATAATTAATAAAATAAAACCGTTTTTATTAAATTTTTTTTAAAATTAAAATGTTTCGTTTTGTTTCGTTTCGTTTCGCTATATTTTTACTGTTTCGTCTCGTTTCGTTAACGAAACGATTTTTAAAAAATTTTGTTTCGTTTCGTTTCGTCTGAAAAAATTTTGGAGTTTCGTGCATGTCTGATCCCTAGTAAGAAAAGTTACTAAAATTTTAATTTTTTATCCTCGTACAAGTCTAGTATTCTCCTATATAAGGAAATTTTTTCTCAGTAACTGAGAATTTTTTAGACGTCTCTACAGCAAAAGGAATTACAAGTTTGAAAAATTAAATAAAACAAAAATTAAAAATACAAAAAATATTTAACAACAAATAAGTGTAGAAAAGCAATCAACAAATTGAAAAAAAGACACAACTCGAAAATATAATAAAAATAAAAAAAATAATCAGAAAATGTTAGTGTGTCAATAAAAGAAAAAATAAATTTAAAAATAAAAAAATATAACGAGGGCAACGACTAAAAATATTTTTTTATTTTTTTTTTGATGAGGAAATTGGATTACCCTAAAAAGTTGGGAGAGAGGGGGGAAAATAATAATAAAATAGACTGAAAAAAATTAATAATAAATATAGCAAACAAATAATAAATAAATAAACTTAATTGAGAAGCAAAAATATTATAGTTTAGAGAAAAAAAATAAAGTTGCGGTTAAAGTTTATTTTATTAACCAATTTATAATTGGCTGGATATAAAAACAGAATAGTATAAGTTTGTTTATTTAAGAAATACATATTATTTTCTGAAAATATAAGCACTCTATTACTGTGAATATAAAATTCTGATTTTGTTTGATATATAATTCTGATTTTATGTATTTTCCGGAAAGTTTTATAAATTAAATTTGTAACCCGGAAAATAAATAGAAATTCTGATTTTAGTCTAAAGGAAAAATACAGGAAAAATACAAAGTCAAAACGTGAGAAAAAGTGTTTTCCGGAAAATAAATATTCTGATTTTGTATTAAGGAAAGTCTTCCGGTTTTAATACATATTCTGATTTGTAATTTCCGGAAAATTTATATAAATATAATTCTGGTTTTGTGTATTTCTCCGGAAAATTTTACTCAAAAATTCTGAATATTTTAAGTAAATATTTTTACTTTTAAGAAGTCTAGCATAAAATGCATAAGCTACATTAAGCGCGTCATATAAATACAATAATTATAATTTTATAAAAGGATGCAAGTATTTGAGGGTAAATGACGATAATGAAAATATAAAAAAGTGTATTGACTTTTATTTATTTTTTGTTTGACGTATTAAATAAATATCAATTTTTAAGGAAAAATAAATTAAAAAATTTAATTAAAAATTAATTTTTATTTTTGTAAAAAATATTTTTTAAAGGTTAAAGAATATTTTTTGAGAGAAAAGTAAAAAAGAATTGTTTAGATTTATTTTTCAGGTGCTTCAAATTATTATTTTATGTTATTTGGTAATTATTTTTGCAAGTAATAAATTAGTAAAATATGTATAATTATTTTTTTATTTTCAACTATTTTAATTGTTTAAGAAAATAAAAATTTATAAATTAAGAAAAATTGAAATTATGAGTAATCCAAAAGGTACAGTGTATAAGCGGGAGTGAGAGCAAGAAACAAAAATACATTCTCGAAGAAATACAAATATTTTAATGTGTTTTCCGGAAAGTTTTGTAATAATTCTGATTTCGTGGATAAACAAAATTCTGATTTTTGTGTTTTCCGGAAGATTTAATAAATAAAATTCTGATAGTCCGGAAAGT